GGGTGTTATGCTGAGCGAAATAAGTCAATCAGAGAAAGACATGTATCATATGACCTCACTGATCTGAGGAATTCTTAATCTCAGGAAAACAAACTGAGGGTTGCTGGAGTGGAGGGGTGGATGGAAGGGATGGGGTAGCTGGGTGATTGATAGACATTGGGGAGGGTATGTGCTATGGTGAGCGCTGTGAATTGTGCAAGACTGTTGAATCACAGATCTGTACCTCTAAAAAAACAATGCAATATATGTTAAGAAAAAAAAAAAGCAGCAGGAGGGGAAGAATGAAGGGGGGGAAATCGGAGGGAGAGACGAACCATGAGCGATGATGGACTCTGAAAAACAAACTGAGGGTTTTAGAGGGCGGGGGGTGGAAGGATGGGTTAGCCTGGTGATGGGTATTAAAGAGGGCACGTTCTGCGTGGAGCACTGGATGTTATGCACAAACAATGAATCATGGAACACTATATCAAAAACTAATGATGTAACATGATTAACATGTGATTAACGTAACAAGTGATTAACATAATAAAAAATTTTTAAAAAATTAAATGTTGCTTTAATGTTTTATCTCCTTTCCTTCTTTTTACCATTCAGTCATCCCCCTCCCATTAATAAAGTATTAATAAAGTAGGAACCAGATAAAACAGAAAAAAAATGCATAAAGGAATATTCTAGAAAATAGAAAAAAATTGTAGAATAGTGAAAAGTTTTTGCCATAAGGTCTCAAATCAATGTGATAAAATATTTTCAAACGAAATAGTAGCAGTCAATATTTATTGAGTGTCACTAAATGTCAGGAATTGTTCTAAGTATTTTACTTATAATACCTCATTTGCTCCTCCTAACGATCTTATGAAGTTGATGGTCTAATTATTCCCAGCTTACAAATGGTGACACTAACACATAGAGATTAAATAATAGCTAAGAAGCGGTGGGCCTGTTGAGGAATCCAGACCATCTGGTCTAGACACCCAAGTTCTAAGTTTTTATCCCTTCGTTAAAGGCTCAACCTACACATTTGCATTTGGTTAGAACTCTGCATTTTCCAGGGGAAAGGGTTGCCAAGACACCCTGGTTTACTTAGATATGAAAAATATCTAGTTCACTCTTCCAGGCTCTGCTTTGTTTAGTTTTTGGGAACACCACTGAGGGCTCTGACATTTGAACTTACCTGTTAAAAAGTAATTATGGTAAGAAAGATCATTTGTGCTATTTCTGTAACTTTTCTGTGGGTTTTAATTTTCATGGTCAAAATTCCTTTCTAAAATTTCAAAGAAGATTTAAATAAAGAACCTTAAGTGAGTCATCAAAAAAAAACACAAACCCAGTTCCTATATGGTTAAGTGCTGCATGAGAACAGAACAGCACCCTTTGCAAAGGCACTTAATTAACAGTTATAGCAGACACTGCACAAAGTAGAATGCAATTACCTTTGGGTTTTTCTAAAAGTCTCTGACATGTTTCTTTGACTTTGGTAAAGAGTTCAGAACCTGCCAACTTTTTAGAAATCCCAACTCTAAGCATAACAGCTCCAGGTGTGAATTTTAACAGTGCAGCCCCAGGCTCTCGTGGTTCTTTTGGATGCTTTGGCATAAGACCAGACCAATCCACATCTATCACATCTAATGGATCTGTAAAAAGTTAAGAACAGGATTTTTTTTTACACCAAGAAATAGCATTCTTGTTATCTTTAGAGAAACAGAAATTGCAAAACACAAGATAGCATTAAATAGCAAGTCCTTTGAACCAAAAATGTCCTATTCTTAAAATGAAAGCTTTCCTATAAAGACTAATATTTAGAATCTAAGGACCTTTACAATAAAAAACCTCACCAAAAGAAAACAGGCAAGCAAACAAAAACCCAAACGCATTCCTATAAATAACTCAGGCAGTGGCTATTAATACAGAGAACAAATAATCCATCCACTGACAAGAACAATTGAAAAAATTAACAAAGTAATATTCTATTTAGAAGTACCTAATGGCATATAATAAAAAAGATAATCATACATACCTTCTACATTAGTAGAAAAAATTGTGATATATATAAAAAATTAAGTCAAAATAAAAGTTTAATATTTTACATACCCAGACAAAGCAAAGACCCTCACAATGATTTAAAAAAAAGTTAGACTAATGGGGATGATTCAACAGGAACATCAATGGGTGTTGCTTCATGGTGCAGTCACTAGAATAAGCTCTGGCAATGCATAAAGTATACTATAAGGGAAAATAATTCGAGTTCAGAAAATTGATAGAAGTATATAGATACTGTTTAAATATAATTTCAATGACTGTAAATTTTTGAATGTTTCAAAAGTTGGCTGTGGCACCACAATTTTGAAGCTCTGCACCATATATCTACCATCTAGAACACTGCTACGCAATCAGTATTTGGTTAGATTCCAGGTCATAGAATATGAATCTTAACCTGCAGAATGGAAATCTTAGAATTTTGCTAATTTAAATGGGACCCTTTCCAATTTATGGGCACTGTCTACTTAAAAATGAGCAGAACATATAGACTATAATTTTCATTTTATTGGCCCTTCAGTCTTAAACATAAAGAGAAAAATTCTAACTGCCTTTCATTATTTCGCACAGTATGAAAGGGAACAAAAAATACCTTAATATCATAAATCAGATAATTTTTATGTTCAACCACCCTTGTAAATGATTACCTGGCATCTTCTCCTCATCCTGTTGGTCTTCCCTCTTTTCAGCATCACCTGCTAGAATTTCATCTAGTTCATCATCACTGATTGGCTCATATCCTTCTCCAGCACCAGATCCTAATGAATGTGCATCATCTAACTTGGATTCGTCATCTCCTGCTTTGGAAAGATTAATTTCATGTCAAAGAGCACATCTAAGGGACATCTAAGTGACACCAAAGAGGAAACACTAAAAATATCTGAAAAGTATTTTTTTCCTTAGAAAACTGTATTTCTTAATTATTCAAAATACTTGACGATTCAAAAAGAAAAAAAAACTGAATTAAATTTAATTTTAATGGCAAGAATACAGTATGAACAGCAATATCGAAACAAGTTATTACAATTAAAATATAACAAAAGGTACCACTAACTTATTAATGTTGCTTGTGTGTTAATCTTTTATAATGAAACTTCAAATAAATCCAAATTTACTAACTTCAATAAACTCATTAAAAGACTTGCAAGCTTATTAATAACATTTATTTGAAACTTAAATCTTAGTTCATAACATTTAGCTCATGATACGAAGATGTTTACAGCAGGGAGGTAAAAATGTAAAAGTGCCATTAATCCTCTCCCTACTTCCCAATTCATCTTTCCTATCCCAAGACAATTTTAAAAAGAATGTTGTAATATAATTTAAAAATATTTTGTAGGTACCACTAGCATACATTTTATTTATCTTACCAATCTTTCTCAACAACGTAGGCTAAGCTTTGTCACCTGATGAGTTAGCTGTGAACTTAAAATTATCCTAAAACTACAGAGTATGTTTAACATTTCTAATCAGCAGTTATCCATACACTTTACCGAGTTTACAACACTAGTTATCAAAATGCAACCCTATGCTTTACAGGTATAAATTTGCAGCAAATAAAATATAATAATCTATGAGATGTTTCTAGTCATTCTATAATTTTCTATTCTATTAAATTCTATAATAATGTCCTTAGGCCTCCACCAATTCGCTTCTAAGGTAACCAACTTTAATGACTTCATTATACAAATATATGTCTAAACATAAATGCAGATAATAGGATTTTTATTTTTTCAAGTTTATCCAACCCATTTTCCTACTTTAGGTGAATAAAATTTTTCATCTTACATTAGGTAATTCACCTACAAATTTCTATGCTATGTTATCTGTGATCACAACCAGTGAATGATGTATTTTAGGGATGAGGGGCACTGACTCCAATCACAAGAGAGCTATTATAATGATTAATTCAATTATATTCAATTATACCCCAAAGTTGTACCTCCATTAGTACCATGGCTCATGATTTGAGGTTATTTATACTCAAAATTGAGATGAAAATGTAATGTGAACACAGAGAGAAATGTTTTTGTCAAGAAGAAAAAAATATGTAACAGATGGTATACTGGAATATATCTAATCAGACAACCAAGAAATGGTAAAGATGTTTATAGTTCCAAAAGAAGGTGAATTTTACTCTGGGCCCAATGTTACCATACGGCAAATAAAAAGAACCGTAAAATATTGTCACTTACATACAAGTATCCCAGACGTTTCTTGAGGGCTTGAAATGGATAGGTAATATCAGAACAATGATATAAGCACTGGTACCAGAACTAGACAATCCCAAGGAGGCAGAATTTCCAGGAGAATTCCCAGGGGAGCCATTACTATTGTTAAGCTAGCTTATAATTCACCAAAGAATAAGATGTGGGGTATGTATGCACAGGCAGAACATATTTTCATTCATCAACCATTTACTGTGTCCTTGCCATAGTCTTGATGATAAAGAAATGAAAAGCTGTGGTCCCTAACAAAGGAGTACAGTATAGTGGGGAGAAAACCATGGAAAAATAATTGTAGTACAGTGTGGGGATGCTGTAAAAGGAATACAGACAAGGTGCAATGGCAACCTGAAACAGCCCCCTTAGCAGAGAAGGCTTCACAGAGGAAATGACACACAGACTGGGAGCTGACGTCTGAGTAAGAGAAGAGAAAAGGGCAAACATCTACCAGGCGATGGGAAGAGAGGGTACAAAGATGGCTGGAGCAAAGTGCCTTCAGAGAATTCAGAGGTGTGAGTCAGTCTGTAGTGCAGACTGGCGGTGAACAAAGAGTGGGGCAGTGAAGAATGATGGTCCCCACAGCTGAGGCTGGCTGTGAGTGGGCCAGAGGGGAAATGCAGCTTTGGGGAATGTGTACTGCTTCATGTATTCTCAAGTGCTCTGGAAAACAGGATCCCTAATAAGTTATTTAGCCCGTCTCTGAACCAAGAAGTAACTTCCATTTATATGATTTTTTTTAAAGATTCTATTTATTTATTTGAAAGAGAGAGAATGAGAGATAGAGAGCACGAGAGGGAAGAGGGTCAGAGGGAGAAGCAGACTCCCCGCCGAGCAGGGAGCCCGATGTGGGACTCGACCCCGGGCCTCCAGGATCATGACCTGAGCCAAAGGCAGTCGCTTAACCAACTGAGCCACCCAGGCGCCCCTATATGATTTTTTTTTAATATCGAGGAAAAGGAGGTGATAACTCCTTTTTAACATCTACGGACACTGCATTTAAGTTTCTTTTATTTCATTTAGGCTAATTTGAACCAAGTCTACCTTGATAGTACCAATCAGGGGAACACGTTTTTTGAAATATCATATGCATATGATATTTCCTTCTGCATATCAGAACACCTTCCTAAGAAAATATTTTGTTTCCTATATAATCTAAAAGGAATGGAGCAGGGTAACAGACAAAAATGTGTGGCACTCACCTTCCACACTCTCAGTTCTCTCAGCTTTGTTTAGATCTTCAAATCCCTGCACAGATCCTAGATCTTTATCCATTTTTTCTTTATCCAAAGCAAGAGAGTCTCGGGAAGTGCCTTCTAGGTCTCTTTCATGTTCACTTTCCAGTTTTGCTTCACTGCGTTTAACAGACTCTATTTGAGAAGAACTCTCAAAAGTTCTGTCTCTGTCTCTGTCCCTGTCCCTTTCCACAGAATCAGGAATTAGTCTCTCCCTTTCCCTGTCCAAATCTCTCCTTTTGTCTCGTTCTCTCTCTCGTTCCCGCAATCTATCTCGGTCCCTGTTCCGTGGCCAATCTTTTTCGGCATCTCGGTCCCATTCTCTCTGTCTTGTATCTCTCCTCTCTCTGTCCCGCTCTCTATCATGCTCATATCGATCACGTTCTTGAAGCCTATCTCTGCTATCGAACGACCCGGATCTTGAATGGACCTGTCGATCCGATTCAGGAGAACTTCTTCTCGAACTATGGCTCCTTGACTCCTGGCGATCTAAAACAAAGAGTTAACACATGAGAAGATAAAAAATGCTTCACTGTTGCTATGCTTGCGGCGAGCACAGCATAAGTCAAATCACTATGCTATACAACACCTCAAATTAATGTAACATTGTGTGTCAACTATACTTCGATGGGAAGAAAAAGAAAATGCTTCATCTTAGGGTCCTTTAAAGCTTACGATTTGATATTTCTATATTCCCAATTATTCAAGGAACTCATTTTAAGGAAAAATTGATCTCTCTCCATTAAAGTGCTAATTAAAATATGTGAAAGATACGGAAACATGTTTATTTCCACTATAACCACAAAATATCTTCCAAGAAATACATACATAAAATGGGTAAGCATTAGTAGAACTGATCACTTTCTTATCTGATCTCTTCCTATGCCCTACCTTATTTTCTGTGGTCAAAAGAACAAGCACTGGCTGCAGGAAGAAGAGCAGGAAGGTTAAAAATTTTAGGCATCAAGAAGGGACTTGAATACATAAGCCCTTCCACCAAGATATACTTACTAACATCCTGATATTAAACTGATGGACGTCACTCAAAGTCTCTCCATTATAACGCTGGTATTAATGGTAACATTTTGGTGGCATGGTTAAGCTTTTAAGCTCCTTAAACTTTAAGGCAGTGTATATCATAACCAACTTAGCATTTACTTTATAATTTGCATAAAATATAAAATTGTATAAAATATGCTAAGACAGGAAACACTTGGTTAGATTATAATTCAATTTTATTACCTGAAGAAGTACTTCGACTGGGTTCTCCACGCTTTAACTGATCAATCCTAGATTTTCTCTCTCCTGTGATTTCCATACTTTTTGTTTTCTCTCTATCTCTTGAGCCACTATGGAGTACTCTCTTTCGACCACTCTGGTCATCTCCACTTCGATGGGCAGAATCATTGGATGGGGAACGGAGACGACCCGACGTATGACTACGATTACTCCGATTGCTCCCAAGGCTGCTACTCCTCTTTTGATCCACTGGCTTGCGATGCGGTGCATCTTCTATGGTAACATGAGGTGCCTCTACCTTTTCCGCTCGTGCTCTGTGGCACTTTCTGTGCGAGTCTTCATTGGCGGTACCGGTGGGGGTGGCAGAGGAGGCAATGGCGGCAGTCGATGTGAAGCTGGCGGCAGCGGACATGGCGAGAGGAGCCGGGCCAGTGGTACTGGCAGCAGTGGCCGCAGGAGGAGGAGGAGGAGGAAGAGAAGACGGAGAAGGAGTCCTTGCAGGAGTAGCAGCTGTGGTAGCGTGCTCCGGTTCTGCCCCCTCCGCCCGCTCAGGCACATCCTCATCAGACCAGTCACTGAACGCCGTATCTTCTTTTTTCTGAGAATCCTCTAGACTGCCATCCTTACCGTTGGAAATTTCAACCAGCTCCTCTTTGGTTGTTATTGGGGGAGTCCGTGGGCCTCGCTTCTTCTTACTCTGCAGGGCTGCTTCTTCATCAGAAATATCAGAATCGCCTTTGGATTTTTTACGTTTTTTTTCAATACTTTTCTTCTTCTGTCCTTTTTTTGGTGAAAATACTTGACCATCTTCAGATGCTGTCTCTGCGTTACCCCTCTCTATCCCAACATCATCCTCTTTCTTTTTCTTAATAGGTTTCTTTTGAATTTTTGCTTTTTTCTTGTTCTCATCGTGAGCTCGATCAGATGTGTCTCGATCGTCAGACGGGTGGTGTCCTATCATGTCTTGTGCACGAGTTCTTGAGCTTTCCATGATTTCTGTCTGTTCTCTCTGCTTATCTACAGAAGAAACTTTCTCTTTGAGCTCTTGCTCTTCATACCGTCTTGAACTCTCTTTTCTTTCTAGTTTACGATCTTCCTCTTTCCATCTACCCTGCCTGTCTTCTGTAAGGTGTGACGGACTGAGAGAACGAGACTCTTGAGGTCGTACAACCTGGCTCAAGAGTCTATGTTTTTCATCTATACAAAAAGATGAAAGTAATCACACTTTCACCAGGTAAACAACATTGCATGTTACACAGAAAAAATAATAACCTAACCTCTCACTTTTCATTTTAAAACTTTAAAAATGGCAATAATTTTACTCGACATGACTTTATTACAAATAGTAGGAAATGACAGTGCCAGTACGATAAAGCAACTGTATTTCTAGCATATACTTTAGTCACATGAGATATTCAGAGGCAGCAGAGTAAGAAAAATTTTAAATCTTACTTCATCATTTTCTACTAATGCCAAAGAATGGTATCATGGCTATAAAGGCATGTGGACATAGAAACAGAAAATATTCTGCTTACTTTTATCATCTCCGCTGTTGTATGCATCACTGTCAGGAGAATGTTCTCGCCGGCGCTTAGGTGACTGACGAGGGCTAGGACTCCCTTCATTTCTATAGCGTTTCCTAAGTCGGACAAATGTAACTTATAAACTTCCAGGGGATGAAAAAGCAATTTCTTTACTAGTTTTTAGTATTATTTCTTTACTATGACCAGAATATAAAATTGTAAGAGAGCAATACTGTCAGAGCTATATCAGACAAAAGGTATTCAATATCTTTAATAAAATTCTTCACTTTGTTTGTTAAGACACACAGTTGTGGACTTCAAAATACACGGCAATTGGTCTTGCTTCATTAAATCACTAGATTTAATTACTACAAGATGGTAACATACAACAGAGGCGTTAATATATTAATGTACCCTCTACTAAAACTTAACTCATTAATTTTACATTTTTATGATAAAGAAATACTCTATGTTGGGAAGCCAAATGAGAAAATTTAGTATTTGCTTTGGAGTTAAAAAGACATGAACTTAAATTAGTTATATCATAAGCCCAGTGCCAGTCATGTTGTGGGTATACTGGAAAAATTGGTTCCTTACCTCTTCCTCGAATGAAATCACTTACTTGGTGGCAAATTAATAAAATAATTCATATGTTCGCTGTATTTCTTGTTCTTTAAGTTAAACATTAAGTGACTAGTCATTTCTATCTCTGGTACTTAAATTATCCTAGTGTTTTCCTATTTTCTCATTAAATTTTGGCCACTTTCTTTTTTTTTTTAATTAACATTGTTTATAAACACTATGGTCAAAAGTGACAAAAACACTGCAGCACACCTATCTCCTTGACAGCTCATTTACACAGATGAGTAACCAGGTGGAAAAAAGGAGATTAGAATGACAACTTAACAGGTCCAAGCTCATACAATTCCCTATCCAGAGCTCCTCATCATTAGGCCGTCTCTCTCTCCATTCTTTGAATCTGGGCTGGCCCACTGACTCGCTATGACAAGAGGATGTGGTGAAAGAACACAGTTTAAGTTTGGAAAGTCAGGACTCAAGAGGCATCGTGACTTCTGCTTTTGCCCTCTGGGTATGTTTCCATCATTATATGCAGAGTTTAGACTATTGGAGGATGAAAGGTCATGTGGAGGAGAAAAGAGATGCCCTAACTAACAGCCAGTACCAAACGCCAGACATAAGAGTGGGACCATTCTGGGTCATCCAGACACAGATGAACTGTCAGACCAACTGGAAACATGAGTGATCCCAAGTAAAATCCCAAGTAGAATCGCTCTGCTGAGCCCAGCCAAAAGTGCTGATCTACAGAATTATGAGCAGATAAATGGTTGTTTTAAACTACAAATTTTTTGTGTGGTTTGATACACAGCAAGAGATAACTGATAATACCAGAATAAAGTGATTAATTAAAATACACAAAAAAGAACTTTAACTTCAAGGAAATAGCTACAGAAACAAAATTAAGAGTAAAATAAACAGTATGGCAATTCAGCAAATAAAACCTTCTACGTAATAGGGGTTTAAAAATGTTCTGGATAAATTCAACTACTGAGATGACAATATAATTGGTAAACATATCAAGATATTAATTTCAGATAGCTATTGTTATAGAGCTGTTTGACTCCTAAGTTTCTGGGGTCCTTACAATGTTTAGATTGTCCAGCTACAAAGAACCAGAAATTTTTGCCACTGTAAGCAGAAATCAAAATCATGGAAAAATAAAGCATAGGACCGGATAATGATAAATAACAAAGATTTCAATCTTAGCTTAAGGAGGTCAGAGAAATAATATGTATTGTGTGCCTACATGTGTTAAGGATAGTATCTGAATTTTATGTTAATGTAAGATTTTTTTTTTTTTTTTAACGTGGGGAAAGGGAAGCCAGTCCACCGTGAACTATAGAAAATCCTGGCTGCAGACTGAAGGGAAGCCAAGACCTAAGAGAAGAAGCCTCCACTTCTGTGCTATGTTCTTTGTCCATAACCATAATCTACAACAGCAGTGATGGAAAAAACCTCAAGAAGGGAGCTGTATTCACCATGACTCAAATGAACTGGAGGCAGAAGCAATGGAATTGAAGGTATAAATTATTTCTGCAGTTTGTTTTAGCAAACTTAAAAAAAAAAGGCAGTTAACTCCAATGAAGTTGGCTTTATGTCCATAAAACCTCAAAATTGACCAATGAGTCCAAAATTTTCATGGCTACAGTGATTGCCTTAGCTCCCCTGTCTACTCCTCAACTAATGAGAGCCCCAACATACAGAGAGGGCTGTGAAGATGATAGGCATACACTAGGGCCATCTTAGCCATCATCTGGAGAAACCTTTTTGAGACTGGAACTCACACAGAAGAAAACAGTGTAGAGATAGAGAGACAGCATTCCCGATACCTTGTTTGGAAGTGTGAATACAGTCACATCAGAACAAATGAACACCAACCATGGACTTCCCAGATACCTAAGCAAATAAATTCTTTTTGGTTAAAAAAAAAAAAAAGACAGAAGGGAAAAAAAGAAAAAGAGAAACTGTCCTCAGCTATTTGAAATAATAACACATCTTTTGAGCCCAGTAATATACTATAACTCCACAGCTCAAGAGAGGACAACTCCTGTCTCTCATCACCTTCTAGCCAGGCAGTGGTTGCAGGGCTTCCCTCAGTTTTAAGACACGTGAATGCTTCTGGCGCTGGGGGTAATGACTCCAGACTAGTAAGTACACAAAACTCACGAAGGATTATCAAGAATAGCACAGGCGATATCTCCTGGTGACTGGTCAACTCCAGTAACTTGTTATAAAGTGGATACGATGAGCTGTAAGTTTATTGGTTCTATCACTTTTTAGTTGGATTCCTTAACAAGTCTATAGAAGTTGAATAAGCCAGTATGTCATCAAAAATGGCACAGTAAAGAAGAATGATTAATTATGTCCACGGTTACAGAAATAGAATGAGAAAGTGTTTTTTTTCCCCCGAGACAACTCGAAAGCCTTTCAACGCTAAATACACACAATAAAATTAAAATACAGGAAAATGCAGAGAGGAAGAAGAGTTATCAGAACGTCAGGGGCACAGTGAAAAGCCTTAAATGACACTTTCTGAACTCTTTACTGAAATGTAACTTCAAAGAACGGATTCATTCTCATTCTTACTTGGACTTCCTCTCATCGTGCCCATCTCTGGGATTCCGGTCTTCTCTGGTATCTTCCCGCTTTTCTCGGCGGTCCTCTCGCCCTTTGTCTTTGTCTTCCCACTCCCTCTGACGCTCTCGTTCCTTATCCCTTTCTCTCGCTCGCTCTCGTTCCCGCTCTCGCTCCCGTTCCCTCTCCCGCTCTCGCTCTCGCTCCCGCTCTTCTCTCTCTCGCTCCCGCTCTTTTTCCCTGTCTCGCTCCCGCTCTCTCTCCCTCTCTCGATCATGGTCACGCTCTCGCTCCCTTTCACGGTCCCTCTCCTTTTCTCGTTCTCGTTCTCTCTCCCTCTCCCTAGCACGCTCTCTTTCCAGCTCTCTTTCCTTCTCTCTTTCCCGATCCCGCTCACGCTCCCTCTCCCTCTCACGCTCTCTGTCTCGCTCTCGCTCCCTCTCTCTTTCTCTAGCCCTTTCATCTCTTCTATCCTCCACTCTGTCTACTCTTCGTTCCTCTCTTCTTTCATCACGCTCAAGCTCGTCATTCCTTCCCTGATGTCGAATTGGTGAGCTTGGTCTTTGATCTACAATGAAAATCAAGTTTTGTCAGTGATTAATTTGACAGATAACCTATTGGTAAGACAGTATGGCAAATCTTAAATTTTATCTGTGTATAGGGTCACACTGGCAGCAAATATAAATCAGGTACTATATTTACGTTTTAAGTTAATCATCCAAATAATCACCCCTAGATGTTTACAAATTTTTTTAAAGGTAAGTTTTATTTGCCCTCTAACTAACATGTTTTCTGCTCCCCATCAACCCCCTTCCCACCTCCCACTGATCCACCTTTGATCTTTCTCTGCATGCTCCCTACCCTACTACCTCCAGCCCACTGCTCCAACCCCACTTTCTGCCATCTCTACCCTTCACCTCTGATCTTCTCTGTCCCCCCAGCAGGACCTGAGAACACTGGTGGCAAAGGATAGGGGCAGCAGGAGGTGTAGAACATAGGAGCTGAAGGAAAAAAAAAATTTCCCTCGTAAGTCACACCTCTAATTTCAGGCCAAAATATATACACATCAAAGTGCAGCTATTATGTGAGGAAAATATAGAACAAAACATCTGTCAATAATTGTTGCTGCAATATCAATTTATCATAAACTAGAATATTAAGGGTACTGATGCTTAGCAATCTTGAAGTAATCAAATGTAAAGTGTTTCATATTAGTGATATATATATTTATAATAAATTAAAAGTTTTATTTAATCATATAACTCCTCACTCAGATGAAGAGCTGTTTTCTTAAAAATGTTAACTTATCATCTCATCACATTTTGTATAAATATATATTTTTTTAATACATGAATCATATAAACACAGAGAAAATGAATACATGCTGCCCAAATGCCCAGCTGAGCAGGAAATTAGTCTGGGACCAAAAAATGTATAAGAAAATGGCATTAACTTTTCCACAGAACTAGCCAGTTTTGAAAGTAGTTCACTGTGGTAGGATCTAGGCTACTGTGTGATGTTTCTATTTTCGTATTATGTAATAAGGTTTATGGGTTAGTCATAAAGGTCATACTACAATATGGTCAATAGGTTTTCAAGTGGAATATCTAACATCAACTTATTAAGCAGAACAACTTTAGGATATTTCCAGGGAAGGGTTCAGTCAATATAGTAATTTGAATTTCCTATCTTATCACAGATGAAAAAGGCAGGACTTATGCATATTTACTCTTTAGAGGTTACATATCAGTACAAAAGTTCATAGAATTTTAAAACTAAAACAAAACCTTGTCCAGCCCTTTTCTTTTTTTTTTTTTTTAAAGATTTTATTTATTTATTTGACAGAGAGAGACAGTGAGAGCAGGAACACAAGCAGGGGGAGTGGGAGAGGGAGAAGCAGGCTTCCCGCTGACCAGGGAGCCCAATGTGGGACTCGATCCCAGGACCCTGGGGTCATGACCTGAGCCGAAGGCAGACGCTTAACGACTGAGCCACCCAGGCGCCCCAGCCCTTTTCTTCCTAAAAACACAGAAATTAAGGTCCAGAAGTTGACTGGCCTAAGTCACAGAGATGGCAGATTTATTAGGACATCAGGACTAGAAGTCAATTCTCTTAAACCCTTTTTTACTTTTGCTGAAGCCAACTTAAATTTAAATGGTTCTATTTTCCACTTTTGATTCCCCAAATGCTACATATTTATGGTCTTAGACTGTCTGAGTTCCTGGTTTAGGGGTCATACTAATGTCACAATGATTACAAGACAACGTGAAATTCAATACTGCAACTTGTAGTAATTCATACTTGAAATTTCTGATTATAGCAATGTCAGGGAATAAACTGTTTTACTCTTTTTTGACAGATAAAAATTCTATTTTCCCCAATGAAAAAGACAATGTCTCTTACTTCAAAGAAAATGAAGAGGATATAAGAACATCACTTTAATGTGCCTAAGCTGTTTTTTTAATCTTCTCCCCAAAGTATGTTTTTCAAAGATGCTCTTCTCTTCATATTATTTCCTTATCTTAATGAATGACATACCCATTCATGAAATCTGGAAATCTCTGAGTTATCCATCAATTTCACTATCAAATATTTCTTTATTCCATTTCCTCTCTCCATCCCTGTGATCTGATCACCTCTTCTTAGATGTCTATGTCATCAACAGTCTAACTGGTTGGTATCCTTGTCTTCAGTTCTTCCCCAGACTTAACATACTTTTTTCATGAAAACTCTATTTTTTCTAACTGCTTAAAAGCAGTTGCCTTGTAGGCAGTGAAAAGGCAACTGAATCAAAATTTTTAGCCTGGTTTATTAGGCTATTTAGAATCTGGCCTATAGTCCCTCATCAATCGTTTTTCCCAGTTTCTTTCCTTTCCTACCAATTATGGGATACCTCTGCTCCCAACATTTTAATTCATTACTACTCCACAGCATTTGTTTCTTTTAAGTCCTGCATGTCTGCACATGCTATACCCTCTCTCTGCCAAAGTGTTTCTTCCTCTGTTCCTCCCAGCAAACTCTTTAGGGAAGCTTTCCTGATCTCAGAACTATTTGCTCCTCTGTCATCTCACAGAACTTCATACAGTAGTAGCTAGCATTCATCAAACTCCAACTGATTCTGTGTACCCTAATCAGCCTGTGAAGAACTAAAGGGTAGATTGAAATTCCTGAGCACAGAACATGGTGCCTGGGCACATCCCTACCCTCAACCTCTGTCAATCTTCCTACTGCTCATTGTACTCTGGTCACATTGGTGTTTTCTTCCAAACTCTAGGACATACTAAGGTATTTCCTATCTCAGGGAACTGGCACATATTCTTCCCTCTGTATGGAATGTTTTTACCATCAATCTTTGTAATGCTAGCTTCTTCTCTTGCAGAAGCATAAATGCCATTTCCTCAAATTTTACATACACAGTCTATCTAATTAGGTCTCTCTCTTATCCTTTATTTCTATGTGGGAACATTCTTTGTGTCCTTGATTGCACTCAATAGTCATTTCTCTTTCTGGGTGTAAGGGGAGGTATCTTCCCTCCCATTAAGTTCTATCAAGAACTATGGTACTTCAAGAACCTAGCAAAGTGCATGAGTACCCAATAAACATGGTGGAATGTATCAGTAACCTCAAATATATAGTTCTATTTCAATCATGCAACTGATATTTATTGAAGTAGTTATAGGAAAGTAAAAGAGAAAGAGGCCAGATCTTGCAATCAGAAGGTCTGAGTCTGAATTCCAGCTCTGGAACTTACTTCTCTGTAATAGTGGAAAAATCACTACCCTTCTCCTAGCCCAAATCTCCTAAGTTATGAAATGTGAATTCTCTTGTCATACCTACATTCACAGGGATATTATAAAGATAAAAGGATTTTAAAGGGTATTTTATATATATTCCCAGACTTAATATCTTTTACAATAGTAAGTCTGGGAATATATAAAAAGCAACTATCAAAGTTCCCGGAAAGTTAACACATGTACGGTTGAGAACTAAATATAAGATTGAAACCAAATGTTACTACTGAATTCCAGGAATAAGATGAAAAAACCTGAGCTAGGATATCCAACTAGGGAAAAAAAAAAGAGAGAGAGAGAAAGAAGATATATTAAAAAAGCATAGCATTACAAGGACAAAGTGTTAGATTAAAGGGAGGTGAATCAGCGTTAAGGAAGATATAATTTCAGATATCAACACACAACATATAAACTCCAGCCTCATCTGTAACTAAGGAAATCATACACATCTTTTAACCCAAATGCATTAGGCTTACTCTAACAAACTCAACTCAACCAAGTCTGACCTCATCTATACTCCCAGAGTACATGGTGTCTTAGTGACTTCCTTCTTTCATTACTGTCCATATCAATATACACTATTACCTTTGTGATTCAGCCCACTATGAAACATCATTATTCAATTTCCTACTCAATCAAGTTTTGTAGTATATTAATCTCAGCATTATAGCAAACCTTACTTTAGTAACCAGCCAAAGTTAGTAAGACCTTCATAAAATCTTAAAGAGTTTAAAGGCCCTAAAACATATAGACAATAAAAGCTTGTTAAAGAAAGTACTTATAAACCCTTCTTAAATGACTTTGAGTAATCTTGCTTCAAAACTGATTTAAGAGAGTAGATCTAATAGAGTACAATCTAATACAGTAACCAAAAATGTTTAGCTTAAGATATACAAGAATATAAAATTAGCTAAAGCAAGTATAGCAAATTCTCAAGAAGGAACATGCATAAAACGTTCCCTCAAACCACCCCCAACCCTACCATCATCAATTTTTCCCTTTGTTCTTCTGACAGCCCTTACAAGACTCTGTTTATTATCACAGCTAGTGAGTGAGTGCCCAGGATACTCAGGTGAGAAAGTATCTCCTGAATCAGAAATGCCTAGAATGGGCACATCTACATTCTTTAAAGGGTTGTAAGCTATCTGGTTAAGGTGAGGGACATAAAGTAGGGCACCTAGGTTCTTGTGGTATGTAAGTACTTATTACACCTCAGTATGTACTCTGTTGCCAAATAGGTACTCTGGTAGCTAGCTCTTTACATACTCTCTCTTATACTAAGTAAACAAGGAAGATTACATGAGTAAATATAATAATTTCAAATGTGTCAACAAGCAAAAGTCTTAAAAGATGTGTTAGAAAGTAAATTGATAATGGTATTTAAAAGACAATTCTCCCAATCACTGTGGGTCATTACTGAATAATATGTGGTTTGACAAACCTCTCTCTCTGTTGTCACGACGGTCTCTCTCTCCATGTCTTCTCTCAAAGGAAGAATCCCTTGCTTGGTCTCTGTTGTCTCTTTCAGGATATCTGTCTCTTTCAGGATAGCTACTTCGAGTTTCCCAGCTGTCATGATAGTTGCTACTACTACTGTGACTATCAATTTGAGAACCTCTTGTGCCTCGACTTCCTAAACAAAGGATATTCACACAAATGTTTAAACACATACACTTTATTAAACAAGTTTCATCAGTCACAATCTTTCTTCCCAAAAAACATACAGATAAAGAAGGTGTGTTAGTACTTCAAAGTATGGTAATCATTACTGAAAAGAATATTAAATGTTGAATCAAAGCACCCAAGTTGTCTAATGATGGGCTTAGGTAAGCCAAGTCCCAGTTTTTTCTATAGATAAAAAAAGTCTTAATGGAATCATAAAGCAAGACGGTTCATTTTCGTTAACCCAAAACCAACAAAACAAAAAATGAAAACTATCTGTTCATAGCTAATTCACAGAAATATGAAAATAAAAAAGTTGATACATAAATTACTGCTTTGATTACAATTTATAGCAAAAACATTCTAATACAGAACCAAGGTACTTTGCTGACATTAAGTGGGTGCCTGAAAATCTTCATTCAAAAATGTGGGAAATGAATGTTCATAGTATAAAAGTGAAAACCTGGAAAGTACCCAAATGTCTTTCAATGGTGAATGGTTAAACTGTGGTATCCCCAGACCATGGAATACTACAAGGAACAAATACATGTAACAACTTGGATGAACCTCAAGGAAATTATGCTGAGTGAAAAAGCCAATCTCAACAGGATATATATAGCATGATTCCATTATGTAACATTTGTGAAATAACAATTATAAGATGGAGGACATATTAGTGGTTGCCAGGGGTTCGGGACAAAAGAGGGGATTTGAGTGTGGCTATAAAGGGGTAATACAGGGAGTCCTGTGATACACAACTGAGTATTCTTGATTGTGGTAATGGTAATGCAAAGCTACACAGCCACTATTGGAAAACAGTACAGAGGTTCCTCAAAAAAATGAAAAAACAGACCCATGTATGATCCAGTAATCCCACTTCTGGGTATATATCCAAAGGAATTGAAATCAGGCTCTGGAAGAGATACCTCACGTTCACTGCAGCATTATTTATAATAGCCACAACACAGAAGCAACCTAAATACCCTCTGATAGACAAATGGATAAAGAAAATGTGGTATATACATATAATGGAATATTATTCATCCTTTAAAAAAAAGGAAATCCTGCCATTTGAGACAACATAGATGAAACTGGAGGACATTATGCTGAGTGAGATAAGTCATACACAGAAAGACAAACAGTACATGATACTACTTATATGTGGAATCTAAAATAGTCAAACTCTCAGAAATAGTAGAATGGTTAACTGCCAAGGGCTGGAGTAGAAGGAAACAGAGAGGTATTAGTCAAAGGGTACAAAGTTTTAGCTGTATAAGATGAAAAAGACTTAGAGCTCTACAGTACAGCATAGTGCCTACAGTTAATACTGTATTGGAAAGTCAAAAATTTGCTAAGAGGGTGGATGTTATGTTAAGTGTTCTCATCACACATATACAAAATAGTAAAGAGAGAGCAAGAGGAAACTTTTGCAGGCGATGGATATGTTGATGGCATAGACAGTAGTGATGGATTCATGAGCATATACTTATCTCCAAGCTCATCATGTTGAATACATTAAATGTACAGAAGCTGTATGTGCAGCTTTTGGTATGTCAATCATATCTCAATAAAGTGGTTTAAAAAAATGTAGAGCTACACACACACACTCACACACACATACATTATACATAATAGGCTTTGAGCCTTCAAAGAATTAGAGAACAATTTTAAATACTGTTGCAATGTATTTTAATAGTCAAAATATCAGCATAATTAAAGACCACAAGGAAGAAATTTAAAACATTTTCTAGAAACTAGAAATGAGCTACATATAACGTCTAGGAATGAATAAGTTAAGTAACAGCTTAGATGCTGCTAAGAGATAATTAGTAAAAAAAAAAAAAAAAAAAAAAGATATGTCTGAGGATATGACCCAGGAAACAAAAGAGAGATAGAGAGATGAAAAATCCGAAAGTTAAGAATCAAAGAAGATACAATAAGAAGATTCAACATGTCTAACATATGTCTAACCTATGCCGTTTAGAGTCACATTTAAAACAAAAAGATACAGCAAGGCTAAAAGGATGAAAAAAGATACTTATCAAATATTAACCAAAAGAAATGTTAGTAAGATAGCCTTCAAGACAAAAAGCACTATTAGGGATAAAGAGGGTCATTCTGCAATGATAAAAGAAATAATGTGCCTTATGTATACCTAACAGCAAAGTCTTAAAATAGTCAAAGCAAAAATTGATCAAATTACATGAAATAGACAAATTCACAATGACAGTGGAAGAATTAACTCACTTCTCTGTAATGTTAGAAAAAGCAGACTAAAAATAATTATAGATTTGAAACCATAGTTAACAAGCTTGATCTGAGACACCCTTTGCATCCAACAATTAAAAGCACACAGAACATTTATATAAATTTCTGAGCCACAGCTAAGTCTTAACAAATACAAATGCCAAAGAGTCGACTTTAAAGTCTTCTCTGACAACAACTAAAATTAAAGAAGGGGATTTATTTTAAAAGGTTATGATTGGAAATTTAAAATCCTATTTCTACCTAATTCATGAGTCAAGGAAGAAATCATATTAAAACTTACAAAGTGTTTAGAATGGTTACTAATACAATTACCACACATTTCATAACAAAGTAAAACCTAAGAGTAGAATAGAACAAAAGAGATACAAAAAAATATAAACCAAAGATTAGTCGTTTGAAAAGACTCAAAACAGACAAATCTCTGGCAAGATTGAGCAAGAAAAATAAGCGAATATAATTATAGATATAAAAGATTTAAAAAAACAAATTTTGGCATATCTTTGTATCAAAAATTTGAAAATAAATTTCCTGGAAAAATATAACTTATTACACCGCTTTAAGAAAAAAACCAAACTACAACTATTACAATAATCTAAATCTATAACTCTTACGAGAAACTCAATTGGTAGTAAAAACCATAACCATCAGAAAAATAGGAAACAATGTTTAACAGACAAATGTTGTTAAATTGTCAAAGAATAGATAACTAATCATATATAGATTGTTCCAGAGGAAAAAAGAAGCAACACTACCTAACACATTTTGTATGTCTAGTGTAACTTTGATTCCCAAATCAAACAAGAAAAACACAAAAAATGAACTATGCAGTGGCATGCTAGAACTGGTTCACACTGGCTTGAAAGAGCCAATTGTGTACATCTCTTCTCATGTCAGTAGCTCAAAATCTGCTACGGCAAGAGTATTTATACCATGGAAATTGGCAAAAACTAAAAGTCAGGACTTTTTCTGAAGAGTTCGTTGTTAAATATTTACCATCATGCCACTAATTATATGTAATCTCAATTGAAAACACAGATGTTTAATTCAAGATCAAATTTTAACCTAATCTAGAACTTTAAAAAAATGAAAAAATTCCATTTATCTTCGAAATGCCAGGATAGTTCTAAATTTTAAAGAAATATATAAGTAAAAGGTTAAAGAGACCAACTATGACCTTCTCAAGATACAGAAAAAATGGTCACGATAGAAGTTAGCTAAGTTGGGGAAATTAGGGGACATCTGTAACAATAAAAAACATCTGCTAAAAATCTACAAACACCATGCTTAATGGTAAAATGCCAACAGTAACACTTTAAAATCTGAAACGGAGCAAAGAAGCCCATTATACTACTTATATTCAACACTATATTGAAAGATGATCAGCAGGTTATCGACAGTAAATAAATAATAATCAGAAAAGAAGAGCCAAATCTGTTCCCGACATAAATGTTTGAGATAATCTAATTAGATCTCCTACAAAAATGGAGAAACATAACAATGTAAGATTAATATACAAATATCAATGATCATTTCCATATACCAACAATAAGTGGTAGAAAATAAAATACTTTAAAATATTATTTAGTGACACACAGTTATTCACTGAAGCACTGTTCAAAAACAAAGACTGGAATACCTACACATCTACCAATATATGATTTATACTAGTCTCCCCTATCCGTGGCTTCACTTTCTGTGATTCCAGTTACCCACGGTCAACTGGGGTTCAGAAGCAGATGATCCTCATTTTGACATATCATCAGGTCAACGGTAGCCTAATGTTACGTCACAATGCCTACATCATGCACTTTACTTCATCTCATTACGTAGGCATTTTATCATCTCACTTCATCATAAGAAGGATGAGTACAGCACAATTAAGATGTTTTGAGAAAGACCACATTCACATAATTTTCATTGTGGTATACTGTTATCATCGTTTTATTTTATTATTAGTTACTGTTAATTTCTTACTATGCTTAATTTATAAATTAAACTTTATCATAGTTGTGTATGTACAGGAAAAGACCCAGTATATAGAGAGTTCAGCACTATCTGAGGTTTTAGGCATCCACCCAACATCCTGGAACACATCCCCTGCAGATAAGGAAGAACTACTGTAATAACTTTAGATTGTTTGTTCTAGCTCTGTGTAAAAAGGTGTTGGTATTTTGATAGGGACTGCAAAACAAATAATCCAATTATAAAATGGGCAGAAGACATGAACAGACATTTCTCCAAAGAAGACGTACAGATGGCCAACCGACACATGAAAAGATGCTCAACATCACTCATCATCAGGGAAATACAAAATCAAAACTACAATGAGTTATCACTTCACACCTGTCAGAATGGCTAAAATCACAAGAAACAGTTAAGTGTTGGTGAGGATGTGGAGAAAGGGGAACCCTCCTGCACTGCTGTGGTGGGAATGCAAACTGGTGTAGCCACTCCAGAGAACAGTACGGAGGTTCCTCAAAAAATTAAAAATAGAACTACCCTACAATCCAGTAATTGCACTACTAAGTATTTACCCAAAGAATACAAAAGTACTAATTTGAAGGGATACATGCATCCTGATTATTTATAGCAGCACTATCTACAATAGCCAAATTATGTTAATAGCCCAAGTGTCCAATGACTGATGAATGGGTAAAGAAGATGTGGTGTATATATACACAATGGAATATTAGCCATAAAAAGGAATGAAATCTTGCCATTTACAACGACATGGATAGAGCTAGAGTATTATGCTAAGCAAAGTAAGTCAGTCAGAGAAAGACAATGTAGATTTGCGCTCTTATGTGGAATTTAAGAAACAAATGAGTAAAGTTAAAAAAAAAAAAAAAGAGAGAGAAAAGGCAAAGCAAGAAACAGACTCTTACCTAAAGAAAACAAACTGAAGGTTACCAGAGGGAAGGTGGGTGGAGGATGGGTTAAGTAGGTGCTGGGGATTAAAGAGGGTGCTTGTGATGAGCAATGGGTATTGTCTGGACATGCTGAATCACTATATTGTACAAATGAAACTAAGATTACACTGTATGTTAACTGGAATTTAGTAAAAACTTAAAACTTTTTAGTAATTCCTAAAACGGACAATGTGCACCATTAAGAAGAGGATAGCTGTTTATCAAGCTGACTGATAGGTAATGATCTCCAAGGTCTTTTTTAAGTGAAAACAGCCAGGTGGAGAGTAATACACAGTTTAAAAAAAAAATTACGTTTGTAAAACCAGATGGGGATATCAGTAGACATACAAATCTGCTTGTGTAGAATATTTCTGGGAAGGATACAGACAAAATTGGAAAAAGATGAATGAGGTCAGGGATAGAGTCAAGGCTTTTCACAATATATTCTTTTGTACTTTTGATATTTTGAACCATGTAAATGCATTATTAAAGAGAGAAAAAAATTTTTTAAGTACCACTGACGAGCACCAAAAATGTTGCATACCCAGGAATAAAATATGTATAAGACCTTAACAGAAAAAGTTATAAATTCTTAAATTTAATGCATTTGAAATAAAAATCCAAGTTTTTCATGAAATTAAAACAAAAAAACTCATTTAAAAAATGTATATGAAAAAGCAAAAGGCCAAGAAAAGCCAAGACAACTATGAAAGAGAAGGTTAAGGGGTCTTCAGCTTAATATGAAGCTATAATATTGACAAAAATATACCAAAAGACCAATAGAAATAATGAATGTTCAGAAATCTGCAGCAGTATTTTAGGGGAGGGGAAAAAAGAGGAGAGAGGAACAGAGGTCAAAACTAATTCAGTCCAAGCAGTTTGGAGACAGAGACATTTTAGGCAGGTAGTTACTGGGTGTTGGTAAATGCTTTTCAGGGGAAGAAGAAAAATGGCTCAAGATTCTGATGTGCAATCATCTGAAGTGGTCTGAAGCAAGCACAAGTAAGTATACTAAGGAATACACGGTCATTTCTGATACCACCAATTCTGAAAGCCCACCATTTTAATTCCACTTTAATAATCACTCTATCATATATGTACCTGTTCAGTAGAAATTATTTCCTTTTGACTCCACTTTTTTGCCTGACAGGAATTATCTTAGTGTTCCACACTAATCAGGAGGGTAGGCATGACTGGATATAATTCACCAGGGGATCTGAATCAGGACCCATTTATCTTTTGCTCCTTTAGCAAATTCCTAAATCCTAGGAATTTAATAATTCCTATTTGGAATTTATAGGGAAGGCCAAAATTCAATTAACTGAAAATTACTTTGATAAAATGATAATGAACGTAAAAAAGAATATATTTAGAAAAGAAACCTTAAAAAATTTAATAATTTCTATATAAGCATACAAGATACAGTTCACTGACAAGTCAAAAACCTTACCCTTTTCAGGTAATTCTGGACCTCTCCCCCTACTTCTGCCCATCCGGTCATTCCTAATTTCACTTCGAGACTCATTTCTGGCATCATTCCTTATTTCAGTACGAGAACTTTCTTCTCTCAAATGGTTTCTGCCATAACTTCGGGATTCTTCTTGATAGGTATCCTCCTTTCGATGAGAATCTCGACTTTCACGGTCCCTGTAGTCATGGGTATCACGAGCAGACCGAGAATCTCTGGGATCACGGCTCTCTTTGTTATCTCTGCTATAATCTCTCATCTCCCTGGAGTCCCGAATGTCTCTGGAGTCCCTTAGTTCCCGTCGGTCTCTAGTATCTCTGGTATCTCTTCGATCCCGACCATCTCGAGGTTCTCGGTCATCTCTGTGGTCTCTAGAAGAGCTCTGATCTTGTTCATACTCTCGTTCTTCTCTTGTGTCCTTTTCTCTATCCCTTTTGCTTCTGGTCTCTATAATGCAAGTTTAGAAATCAACTAGAACTCCTTTCACAAAATCGTGAGAAACTAGACGATACACATAAATATTAGAGCTTAAAAATTTTTTAAAAATGGTAATTCACGTTCTTTGCAGAAAATAAAAAAGAAAACACGGGCAAATAAGAAAATCAAAACCATGCATAAGCTACAATTCCAAAGGTAATTTTATTAACACTTGGATAACTATGTTCTTGATTAGATAAACTGTGATTAGGATCTTCCCATGCCCCAACTTACCCATACTTATCTTCAACAACTGAAACAAATAAATTGATCTCATATCACTGATGGCTTATTTTTTAGAAACTACTTGTAGATCCAGAGGTACACAGTGACTTTAGCCATCTCTACCAAGTATTAGGCCACACTAGAGCACCCATGACCACCTCAAATGTACTTAAAGCACTTACGAGTGGCCCACAGTTAGTAAGCTGGCTGGCAAAGAAATACTGTTATTCACCCTCTCTTTTCTTGAACTGTTTACTGGAATCACTCCTGTCTCTGAAGTTTTCTCTCCTTAAAGCATTTTCTAACACTTCACAGAAAAATAAGAAAAGAACTTCAGTTTTTAAAAAGCTGAAATGAAACTCACTGATTATTTAATTCAACCTTGTCACTGTCTAAATGAAGAAATAAGGGGCCAAGAGCTTAAATGGCTTAGATAACTGCATACCTAATGGAATTTGCAAAGAATAGAAATTATTCTTTAGATATGCCTAGAACAGGCATAAACTGATTACAGCATAAATCTGATATGAAGTCAAAGGACTAACAAGAGAACCTCGGAAAACAAACACTGCCTTGTTTTTAAATCAGATTCCTTTATGTGTTGCTCTGACCCTGTGGACTGCCTCAATATCTGAGGCTATTTTGGCAATTATAGCAGCCGTAGGCCTATTGTAAATTTACCTTCTTTTCTTTGTCCCAGGTGGCTAGGCCTACAGACTTTCTCAAGCACCCAAACCCCTAGTATCCACAAGACCCCCTAGATTTTCACATTAATAACTCATCTCTCCTGTCAATTACATTGTCCATATGCTTATATCCACAAATGCCCATTAAGAACAGAAGCAGTAGGCAAGGATCTGCAAGGTTTCCATCCCTTTCTGTGCACATCTATGACTTCTAGTCCTCCTCCAATGCCAACTGTGCCTAAAAATATGTTCACTCAGTACCATATCCCTTTCATGATTCCATCTGTCTTTTCACATCTAGTTACTATATTTTGTTCTTTACCTACCTCCCCACTCTTCCACTAAAATTATTCTTATTTCAGAAGATGACATCTAAATAGAGGAACAAACACCTGCTACATCTCTTATATGGAAGGTTAAAGAAACCTCTTCTTTACAAAGAAACTAAACACATATGGTTTATTATTAAATGGATTCTTCCTGTAACATAGGCCACTCAGCACACACACAAAAATTCTTATAAGACTCAACCGCATACTATTTCCCGTCATTATTACTTCAAAACAGACATCAAATACACTAAAGAGTTTTCATTCAATAAGTAGTCATTAAATGTACACTATATTCCCAGTCAACTCTAGTTAAATATTTTTTTAAAATTAACAGAAAGGTGCTAAGAGAATTTTCCTATCTTACCAATGTTCCAAAAATACTGCTGCGCTGTTCTGGTTCCAAAATGAGGTACACAAGAAATATTTCTATACAACAGATGCTCTCTCTGTTCCCTACCTGGGCATTCAACATTTTCTTGAATAAAAGAACTTGATTAATTATTACACTGTTGATAGGAAGAGAACAACTAAATTCAACACGTTTCACAGGAGACTGCTGTACTATACTCTCAGAGAGGTTTATTTTAAAATGCACATTAAAGAGAACTGTTGTAAGTAAGCCAAGTATTTCCTGAGTACTCATTATGTTTAAACACCAACTCAGAAGCTAGGGAAAAAACTTAAATATATAAGGACAAGAAGCTTGGGTAAGGAGTACAGAAAGAGATGAGAGCTATTAGACTATATTGCCAGATAATAATAGCATCTCAGCTTGAACAAGGAGTAGCAAATCCAAAGTTAACTTAATTATCAGGGATCTCGAAAGGAAAGCTGCACTGCTTACTTCTTTCTTGAGTTACACCTAGAAAACTGATCACTTGGTTTACACTGACCTTCTGAATGTTCCCCCAGCCCTTACCTCTTTATCAAAACATGTCTGATGCTCTCAAACTTTGTCCCCTGGTTTGCTGCATTTCTTTCCTTCATTTCTCTTTTTTTTTTTTAAAGAATCAACTAAGCAATTAGAAGGATGCTTCAAGAGTCAGAGAGCCAAAAATTTCTTAACTTCAGAGTACTCAAGTGAAACATCTTAACTGAAGAAAGCACTACCTCAGTATACATAAAAATGCCCACTTATGTACATTTAATAGTTTATGTTCCTGTGTCATTATAAAAGTACCTCTTATTGCCCTCAAGAACTCTTCTCTGTTACAGAAGACTTAATACAACAGTTTTCTTCTTTCCCTTGTTATAACAGTAAATCTGAATGGCCAGTTCTTTAATAAAGAAAATACTTAAAGAATTCAAAAAAAAATCAAGATAAAGTACAGTGCATACCTTCCCTTCTTTCATGACGCCGATCATGAGACTGTGAAGTTCGTTCATGGTCATGCCTCCCTTTTTCTCGCATTGGAGAGCGATGTCTTGGGGGACTTTGCTTTCTCTGAGGAGAAGACAGAGAATGTGAAGGATAAGGAGAAGCGGAGCGTCGTAAAGGTGGAGTTATTGTCCTCTGATAAGATGGTGAAGGAGTTCTTTTTCGACGAGGAGAAGGAGAATGTCTTTGAATAGATGATCCTGATTGTGAGGAAGATGAATGATGTCTAGAAGATATAGGAGAATGATGCTGTCCTACTGGGGAAGTAGACCTGCAAAGAAAAGCAACAATAAAAAAAACTGAATGCTAAAGTTAAAGCTAAAAGTGTGAATCATAATTCCAGGATAAATATCAATTCATAATGCTGTATAATAAGTTAATTTTTAAAGATCTGATTGATTTTAAGTGAGCCTGAGGTCACAGTTCTAGATGAGATATGCATTGCCTTGCTTCCAAGCTTTGGCTCCAAGGAGCACTCTCCCTGAGCACAAATAGAGAGAATATTACCCTCACTTAAGTATGGAATTCACTCTTATCAGAGATAATCTCTGACAGTGCGAATAGGTACTTGGAGGCAGGAAACCACGAGAGGCTAAAAAGAAAACATACTGTAAGATCTAGATAGAAAGTGGCTATGAGAATGCCTGTAATTCAAGGCTGCGGGGAAAGGGAAAAGTCATCATCAGCTAAGCCAAACCTGAAGTCTGCACTGCCTGGGTTGAGATTTAGGAACGGGAAAGAACGCTACAGTTAAGGAAAGGACACTGTCTATACTGTCTTTATCTTTTTTTTTTTTAAGATTTTATTTATTTATTTGAGAGAGAGAGAATGAGAGATAGCACGAGAGGGAAGAGGGTCAGAGGGAGAAGCAGACTCCCTGCCGAGCAGGGAGCCCGACGTGGGACTCGATCCCGGGACTCCAGGATCATGACCCGAGCCAAAGGCAGTCGCTTAACCGACTGAGCCACCCGGGCGCCCTATACTGTCTTTATCTTAAATACCTGGCCTTCACTCTCGGTGAGCACAGATTAACTTCATGAGTCTTGGTTTAAGGAAGGATTCTACTCCCTTCAAATCACCTTCTTTCACAGCTGCCAGAGAAACAACTTACAACCCCACAAAGCACCTACAATTTGTTAAATCCTGGGCCCTGGTTTACACTGAATATGCAAAACGTGTGTGTGGAATACACACACACTTTTGCAATAACTGAAAAGACACACACATTTTGCAATAACTGAAAAGAAATAGGACTAAGGTTTAAAAAATAACATTCCATATACCACATACCTGGATTAGTATCATATTCCTCAATCATTCTGAAGACTAGATGTTTGTTCAAAAACATTCTGGAGGCCTAGTCAAAGTATGTTAGAATTACCTTCAGTGCCTATGATAAATATTTTTTAATATCTGCAATGGTGGCAAAATTAGTAATCCTAAACCAGGGTTTCTCAATCTTGGCGGTCCTGACAGTTTGTATTCAGTAATTGTAGTGGGGGGCTGTCCTGTACATCATGGGATGTTTAGCAGCATCCCTGGCTTCTACCCACCAGAAGCCAGTACCATGCTCCTTCTCATCCCCGTTCATAACAATAAAAAATTACTCCAGACATTGCCAAACGTTCCCAGGAAGGCAGAAATCACCCTTTGTTGAGAACTGCTGGTCTGAACTATGTTGTTTATAAATGATGCCTCAGTAGATCTTTTATCAATAAAAGCGCCAAATACATAAAATATATGTTGATTCACAGAAGTGATTCCAATATATTGAAAAGAATTTTGCAGAACAAGGATTTTAGCAAATAAACAAAAACACCTAAAAAAAGTCAGCTAACTAGAACATCACATTCACCTAAACATTCTAGTTATCAGTAATTCCACTACACCTTCATACTTTTCATAAAAATTTCCTTCTCATAAAAAAATAAGCCATAAGCCACTATAATTTAACTGATTCTTAATAGAAATGTATTTACTTACAGGTATGTGTAGAAATGCTCATAGGGTCTTACCCAAATTTGGAAAACCAGCTATGATCAATGGTCATTCAAATGCATCTTACTGAACATGAATGATTATTGTTTGGTACATTCCAACTGCAATTTCATCAGGTTCTGGTCAATTTGGAAATCTCTAAATTGATAAAATAAAAAATGCAACTCTCCACTGAACTGACATTTTGGTTAGTTTCATTTATTTTGCATACTTAAAATTGTTTCAAGAAAGTCTGCAATACCCTTTGGTGATTAGTTCACAAAACTTAAAAAATAAAATAGTTCATAATACTATCTTTAAAAAACACAATACAGTCCAATCACATTTCTATTCAAATTTCGTGTTGATAGCATGTAGTAAAAAACTTCAGTTCAAGCTTAGGATAATCAACCTATCAAATTAAGGTCAGAGGACCAATGCATTGTCAAGTTATGGTTTCAGTATTTTTCTTCTTACCCATCCTTCAAGAAAAAAAAGAAACTTATGGACTGAATGTGTCCCCCCAAATTTATACAACCCCCCAATGTCACAGTATTTGAAGGTGGAGGCATTTGGGAGTAACTGGCTTTGATGAGGTCCTGTGGTGGGGCTCCCATAAGATTAGTATCCTTACAAGAAAAGGAAGAGACCAGAGCTCACTGTCTTCCTCCATGTGAGGACACAGTGAGGAGACAACTGTTTATGAGCCAGGAACCCAATCTGCTGGAACCTGGACCTTGGACTTTCCAGCCTCTATAGCTGTGAGAAATGAATGTCTGTTGTTTAAGCCATTCCAGTCTATGATATTGTGTAATAGCAGCCCAAGTTGGCATCTTTATTTTCCTGTTATTATTTTTTTAAAAGTCTGATGACTAAAGAATAGTGAAAAGAGAGGATCTGTTACCAAAACAAGATGCATCAAATTATGGATGTCAGCATAACTGGACCTAGGCCTATGTTCATTCTACACATAGGAAAGGTAGAAAACAAAACTGTCTTGAAATCTGACCAAAATTATTAGTACTTTGGCTTTTAGACTATTGCAGAGGTATATTAAAATACATTTCTAGTTAGAATAGCAGTAATTTTAGATTATTTTTAGGCTTTAGAATTGGCTGGCTTCTTGTCTGAGGAGGAAAAAAAGGTGACATTTGACATTCAAATAAAGAGAAGAGTTTATTATTGCATGAAGAAAAGCTCAATACCTTAAAGAAGAAATCTGTGTACTGTCAGCAAGAACACTGTGATTTATAGCACAGGGAAAGCCAATCTTTAGCCTGACTTGATTCTAATCAAAAGTTTTTTAATGCTGCTATAACTAGAGGACAAAATGTGGGATGAGAATATTCAGCGCATATTTCATTTGAGGAAAACGTGAAATGTTAAAAAGTCTAAAAAGAAAAACTTCTCTCATTCAAGATACATTAATTTCACCTACAAACCAGTATGCTTACCCTAGACTTTCTTAAAATTACTAATACCAATTTTTCTTTCGGTAAATAGTTTCTATTTCTCAAATACAAAAATATGCCTTCATAATGTAACTAACATTTATAACTCACCCTTTAAAATCATCATGCAGAAGGAGGAGGAGCAAGATGGCAGAGGAGTAGGAGACCTAAATTTTGTCTGGTCCCAGGAATTCAGCTAGATAGGGATCAAACCATTCTGAACACCTACAAACTCAACAGGGGATTGAAGAAAAGAATAGCAGCAACTCTCGGAACAGAAGAGAGACTGCTTTCTGGAAGGTGTCTTCTGATTTGTTTAGTGTATATTTTTCTGGGGCCAGTGTTACCCTTTTAGCATTTTGTTCTCTCATTCATCTATTCTCCTCTGGACAAAATGACAAGACGGAAAAACTCACCTCAAAAAAAAAGAACGAGGGCACCTGAGTGGCTCAGTTGGTTGAGTGACTGCCTTCGGCTCAGGTCATGATCCTGGAGTCCCGGGATCCTGCATCGGGCTCCCTGTTCAGCCAGGAGTCTGCTTCTCCCTCTGACCCTCCCCCCTCTCATGTTCTCTCTCTCTATCTCATTCTCTCTCTCAAATAAATAAATCTTAAAAAAAAAAAAAAGAACGAGAGGGCGCCTGGGTGGTTCAGTTGGTTAAGCGACTGCCTTCGGCTCAGGTCATGATCCTGGAGTCCCAGGAACGAGTCCCACATCGGGCTCCCTGCTCAGCAGGGAGTCTGCTTCTCCCTCTGACCCTCTTCCCTCTCGTGCTCTCTATCTCTCATTCTCTCTCTCTCAAATAAATAAATAAAATCTTAAAAAAAAAAAAAAAAGAAAAAGAACAAGAGGCAGTACCGACTGCCAGGAACCTAATCGATACGGACATTAGTAAGATGTCGGAACTAGAGTTCAGAATGACGATTATAAAGATTCTAGCTGGGCTTGAAAAAGGCATGGAAGATACTAGAGAATCCCTTTCTAGAGAAATAAAAGAACTAAAATCTAACCAAGTCGAAATCAAAAAGGCTATTAATGAGATGCAATAAAAAATGGAGACTCTAACTTCTAGGATAAATGAGGGAGAAGAGAGAATTAGTGATAGAGAAGACCAAATGATGGAGAATAAAGAAGCTGAGAAAAGAGAGATAAACAAATACTGGATCACGAGAGCAGAATTCGAGAGATAAGCGATACCATTAAGACGAAACAATATGAGAATCATTGGGAACCCAGAAGAAGAAGAAAGGGGGCAGAAAGTATATTGGAGCAAATTATAGCAGAGAACTTCCCTAATTTGCGGAAGGAAACAGGCATCAAAATCCAGGAGGCACAGAGAACCCCTCTCAAAATCAATAAAAATAGGTCAACACCCCAACATCTAATAGTAAAACTTACAAGTCTCAGAGACAAAGAGAAAATCCTGAAAGCAGCTCGGGACAAGAGGTCTGTAACCTACAATGGTAGAAACATTAGACTGGCAGCAGACCTATCCACAGAGACCTGGCAGGCCAGAAAGGACTGGCATGATATATTCAGAGCACTAAATGAGAAAAATATGCAGCCAAGAATACTATATCCAGCTAGGCTGTCAGTGAAAAGAGAGATAAAAAGCTTCCAGGACAAACAAAACTAAAAGAATTTGCAAACACCAAACCAGCCCTACAAGAAATATTGAAAGAGGTCCCCTAAGCAAAGAGAGAGCCTAAAAGTAACATAGGCCAGAAAGGAATAGAGACAATATACAGTAACAGTCACCTGACAGGCCATACAATGGCACTAAATTCGTATCTTTCAATAGTTACCCTGAATGTAAATGGGCTAAATGCCCCCATCAAAAGAC